CCAAACAGGTCAAAAGGAAAGAAACCCTTCCACGGCCTCTCCCCGCTCGCAAGCAACCCAAACAGGTCAAAAAGAAACCCTACACAGGTACCCAAACAGCCCTGTCACGGCTTTTAGCAAGCCCGCCGCCCAAACAGCCTGGCACCCAAACAGATCAAAAAGAAACCCTACACAGGTACCCAAACAGCCCTGTCACGGCCTTTAGAAAACCCGCCGCCCAAACAGCCCTGGCACCCAAACAAATCAAAAAGAAACAAGAAATCGAGTCCAGCCCAGGAGCATCCCGCACACTGGCTCAAACAGGTCAAAAGGAAACCCTTCCACGGCCTCTCCCCGCTCGCAGGCAACCCAAACAGGTCAAAAAGAAACCCCACACAGGTGCCCAAATAGCCTTGCCATGCCGCAAGTGGATAGACTAGGCTAGCGCCCAAACAGGTCAAAAGGAAACCCTTCCCGGCCTCTCCCCGCTCGCAGGCAAGGTCAAAAAGCAACCCCACACAGGTGCCCAAACCGCCCTGTCGCGGCCTTTCGCAAAACAATCCCGGCTCCCAAAACAGGTCAAAAAGAAGCCCCACAGAGGTGCCCAGATAGCCTTGCCACGCCGCAAGTCGATAGACTAGGCTAGCGCCCAAACGGGTCAAAAGAAACCCTTCCACGGCCTCTCTCCGCTCGCAAGCAACCCAAACAGGTCAACAATAAACCCTACACAGGTACCCAAACAGCCCTGTCATGGCTTTTAGCAAGCCCGCCACCCAAACAGCCCTGGCACCCAAACAGGTCAAAAAGATATCCTACACAGGTACCCAAACAGCCCTGTCACGGCCTTTAGCAAACCCGCCGCCCAAACAGCCCTAGCACCCAAACAGGTCAAAAAGAAACCCCACAGAGGTGCCCAAATAGCCTTGCCACGCCGCAAGTGGATAGACTTGCCATAGGGACGCACAGGCCGCAAGTGGAAGTTTTGCCGCAGGGGCCCTGCCCAACCAAACGGTACTGTTTGAAACCTTGTACCCCGGAAGCAGTGCCAATTGAAACCCTATACCCCGGAAACAACTCTGAAGAAAAACTTCCCAACCCAACGGTACTATTTGAAACCCTGTACCCCGGAAACAGATCCAAAAAAAACCTACCGGGTACCAAAAAAACCCAGTCCATGACCAAATAATACGTATTGTCTTTAATGTTGGATCTTAAAACTTATACTATTAAAAAAGGGGTCCCCCCCCTCCCTAGCGCACAACCGAGGGAGCCTGAATAGAATCCCTACCACCAAATAAAATAATAGCAGTAGTAGTCGTCGTCGTCGTCGTATCAGTAGTAGTTAGCAGTAGTCAGTAGTAGTTAGTAGTAGTTATTTGTACTACAGTATAGTATTGCAAGAAGTAGTAGCAGTAGTAGTCGTTGTTGTCATAGTGGCAGCAATAGGAGTAGTAGTAGTAGTAGTAGTAGCAGTAGTAGTAGTAGTCGTGGTGGTGGTGGTGGATATTTTTCCGAGGACAATTTTTAGTATTCTGAAACAATTCGTGCTATTCACTTCCCCTGGGCTCGTGTACTACCCCCTTGAACAATTGTTTGGAGCAATGAAATCGTTGAATTTGAATAAGCGATTTCTAAACCGATTTCCACGTCCGTCAGAATTCCATGAATCAAGCAAACCTCAGGAGAGCTAAGTAAGGATTTTAAAAGAAAGCAATAGCAGAACAATAGAACGTTACCAAAAAAATACACCCTGGCCCTGGGCGAAAACACGTTTTACTATTCCCACCCATTAAACTATTCAGGGTGTGGGAATAATTTGGCGAAAACTTTTTGTTATCCCCTCCTATTTGACTAATTAGGATCCGACATTATTATAATACAGATTGATGGAATCTACTGCCATCTGAAGTGGCATGCTGTCTCACCTGGGCACAGAGTGATTTGATGCCTGCAAACCAATCAAGACAACATAACAGGACATCTTGTTTCCTCACCGCTGGGAGGCAACCATCCACTGGCACTTCCAATGGCCAAACCACTTCTCTCTCTCTCTCTCTTGCAAAAATCATTGTCACCATTGAGCTGTCCCTCCTAGCAGCCTAGCATGTGACTGACGAACTTGAAAGGACATTTGGAGGGGAAGAGGCCACCCTTACTGACGATATGCAAATAGAAATAACTATACATACTATACCTGGATCCTCCTTTGGGCGGAAAAAAGTGCCGGACCTCAATCCGGCAAAATTTTCCGCCGGATTCCGAAAAAAACGCCGGAGACCTGAAAAAACATCCGGATCCAAGATTCTGAAAAACAGAGATGATAAAAGGCTGGATCATACACAAGCAAACTGCCTTTGCACCACAAGTAGTTTTTTCTGGAACACACTCATTCCACAACCCAGCACTGGAGCCTTCCCGTTCCCATTGCCCTCGCCCATCTTCCGAATGGCCTAAGAGCAGAACCATCACAAAATATAAGCAAACTTGTGCCCAAGCAAAGACTTCCAAGAAGAAACCAAGGAGTATGTGGCAAGGAACCCCTATTTCTCTGCACCCGTGTCTCTAATTGTTTTTTACAAAGTGGCTCTCCATGATTCTTATATGGTTTTAAATTGTTTTTTATTGCTTGCCTCAGGACGGCCCCGCCAATAAAGTAGCAGCACTCATGGTTCCTGTCGAAACTCTTAGTTGAAAAACTTTTCAAAATTCAAAAGACTGAGTCCAAAAAAAATACGCCGGAGTTACGGGAAATTACGCCGGAGTTACGGGAAATTACGCCGGAGTTACGGGAAAAAACGCCGGAGTTACGACGTGCAATTTTTCTTAGCAACTCTTTGCAAAACATTGAGATTCTGAACAACACATGTTCCACAGCCCAAAACTTGTCCGGCAGGCTCTGCAAACCTGCGCAACTAGAACTAATTATATCCCAGCGCCCCGACATCCTGAAACACTGGGAGTACATCTTTGCCTATGTTCTTTCAGCTTAGGTACACCCACTTGGGTCTTTCAACACGTGCATCGCACTGTACCAATTTCATCCGATTTCACTTAGAAGATCACCTAAACGGATCTGATTGATCCAGTGTGAACCATGCTGAAACCGGTGGAATGAGAAAACAGCGGAACAGGCAAACGAGCACACTTTGCAAGCAAATCATTACCTTCAAAGAAATGCAAGCCACAAAGAATGCAAAGCCTTGAGAATCCACATTTCAAGTGACTTGGAAAAACCGCCGGACCAAATCCAGAAAAAACGCCGGAGTTGGAAGTCCGGCGCCGGACCCTGTAAAAGTGCCGGACTGAAGATCTAGGTATAATATATATTATGGTATTTCTAAATTAATGACAATATAGACTTACGTATCTTGCATATATTTGAATATGTTTGAACGAAGCTTTCTGATCTCCCTTTCAAAGAACTATGAACTATCTCATACTATCTGAACTATATATCTCATGCTATCTGACAAATTGCTGAGATCCCCTCAGTGCCACGGCCGATCCTGAGGCAAGCTGGCAGCGGGCAAAAGCAAGGGCTTTTCCTGGCCGTTTTCAGAAGAACTAGCCTGTTTGTAGAGGGAAACGGTCATCCAGCGGGCCATGCCATCCACTTCCATGATGATTCTAGGGAGTGTACAGGTACCTCGTACCATCTCGTACCTTTGCCTCCGTACCATCAAAAGGCGAAACCATCCGTTCACACAGCAAAAACACCGCAACCAGCTCCACACCGTGTGACATTGATTCGGGATAATGACGATGAGTCCTCCCCGATGAAAAGCTTGTTTCTTCTACAACCAGTGTATCCAAAGCTTGTATCAAAATCGCCCAAACCCAACGAGAAGCGGCTGGCACTGCCACTGCCATCCACCGAGCAGCGCGCGATGGCCCGACACCGATGACGGTCCTTCAGCTTCAACGAAACCCAACCCGTCTCCGGGCCGTGGCCCTCCAGCCGTCGGAAGCGCAAACGCTCCCCTTGAAGCTCCACTTGGGCAACTCGCGCCCCTGGCAACATCTGTTTGAATGTGGGGAATTGAGTAGCACGGTAACTGCATGATGGAAAACGTCCGGAACGGATGCCACTGGTGTGTCTTCTGGTTACGGAGTTTCCGTTGCAAAAGCCCGCGGTAAAACGGTAAAACTGTAAAATGTGGAGCACACACAAGCGCGGGGTAAAAGGGTAGAATGGTAAAGTTGTTAAAATCCCGGGTGACAAAAGCGAGGAGTAAAACTGGAGTGAGAAAGTCTCACATGACATATATCCGAGGAGTTTGATAGAAACTCGAACTCGGAGCGCATGGAGGTGTCATAATGATCAGTCTTCCTCAGGGCTTTTTGCTGGAGGCAGGTGCTTTGGTGCCGCTCGTCGCGCCGAACCACCAGGACTGGCCTGTTTCGAGTCGCTCCTTTAGCTTGGCAGATGAAAGCTCCACCTCGGCAGGAGAAAGCCCCTCCTTCTCCGGACCAAGTCACAGTTGCACACGAGACAGTCACTGACTCACAAACACAGTCAGCTGCAGGCACTGGCCCACCAGTTCTATCAGTTAGTCTCCTGTCAAATGATCTGCAGCTTAAATTCCCTCCGCCGCCCTAGACTGGGGTCCCCTTCTCTAGCGCACCGCATGCAATGAGATTGAACAAAATGAGCAAACCAAACATCAGAAAGCCACTCCCTCGGCCAAGCAACGCCTTGTCTCACTACGAGGCCTCCAGTCTGCTCACCACCCACCACAGTCCAATGTGCCATGAATCAGTAGGCAATGAATCAGTAGGCCTCTCGATCAATCAAACACTCCAATGGTCGGAGCAGTGTAGATTGAGTCAAATTGACACTTTCTCACAGGACTCGGCCAAAGACGGCGGTAAACATGTGACGCCTCAAAGCCGGTTGGGTTGCTTAAGAGACAAATCATGCTTCGGTCCTTGGTACTGGTCGCGTTTTGGGGTAAGAAAGTTTGAAAGAAACACTTGGAGCCGGTTTTTCCACCACATGTGCCTCGACATATTTCAACCATGTTCAACATAGCACTCCCAACGGAGATGAAAAGGGGCTGGCAATCCAATTGCTCTGAATGGAGGTTCTGGAGGCTTCCCTTCATTGGAAGGTTCCTGGGCTCATCTTTGCATCCTTGAATTGGACATCCTTCCCTGGAGCCGAACAGCCTCTGGATGGGAAAGGAGCACAATCTGGGGCAGAAACACTGCTCTGCGGATCTCTCTCAGCACAATTCCCCTCCACAACTGGGCAACACATTTCCTTCAAATCCCTTCGAATCCATTGGATAATATGATAAATATGTATACTCTTGATTACAGTAACCTACAAGCTAAGTACAGTAACTAAACCCACCCATCTGGATTCTAAAAACTCTCTATATGATGGCTTGAACTACCATCAAGTCGTCTACATTCGTAATGACCATTAACAGGCCAGGCCGGGCAGGCCTCAAACATGTTAGTTGGTTCGTCCAAGGCCCGGACGGGTCAAGTCCAAGTCCAACTCCTGGAGCCCCAGGCAGGGGAATTCCAGCCTCGAGTCGACCGGTCGAGTGTCGAGTCGACAGTGATGGGGCGGCATCTGTGTTGACAACGACTTGGTTCGGCCTGCTACTCTTCACCAGTGACAGCCGATGTTTGCACCACAATCTATGCCTATAATGGAGTGATGCACCTCTCAATGCTACTAGTGGTAAGCCGGCAAAAGCTCAAACGTTCAACAGAGGGGTAGCACCGGGTAGCACCATTGTTGTTTCAATCAAGATCGGACATGCTTCCAATTGGCATCTCAACCGACGCATCGACCTGGTCATCCTTACGCCATGACTAGGTCCATGCCGCATCCCCAGGGGGCCTAGCAGCACCTTCTGGCCCAATGCCTGCGCGCAGAAAAAAACCGTGGATCGGCTGCACCGGGCTGATCGAGCCAACCCTGAGCCAACGAGGCCAAGATATACCGTGCTCCTACCTCCGTGTCTGAAGCGCCTGCGGACGAGGGGCGTCACCAGTCCCGCGCACGGCATGGTGCGATTCTGACTGCCTTTAAAATCATCCTCGCTATCTCCCATTGCTCGTTATCCACCTTTCCTTGCACATTCCTCATGACAGTAAATTTTCCACGGTGTGTCAGAGATACGGGTTGACAAGTTGAACAACATTCATGGGGTCACAGTGCCCCCAGGGTTTTCCAGAGGTAGCTGTGTCCCCGTCCCTCCTTGACTTGTGATGGCACAGGAACCTGTCACCTGCAGTTGCTAGGACAACCGCAGTTGTGAAGTTAGGCACTTGTCATGGCACCCTTCTCCTTCAAGGTTCTGACCATGTGGCAAGTGTCGAACACTTTGACTATGAAACATGGTGGCACTAGCTGTGGACCTTAGAAGCCGAAACTTCCAAAACCTCAAGGTCCGTTCACTGAACTCCTTCTGAATCCTGTCACCATGACAGCCGTCTGTGAAGGCCTCGCTTGTGCAAGTCCAAGAAAAGGTTTTTTGCTCCAGGGCCTTGGCTTTGAAGTGCCCTGGGTTTGTGCCACTAGAGACCGACGAAACCGACCGATACCCCCTTGGCCAAGCAACGCCATCTTCATCAAATCGCAAAAACACATATGAAAAAAATCGCACATGTCGAACCATGGAACTCTACTGGAAGAACTACAGCAAATACGGATATAAAACTGATGTTCCAACATGTTCCAGCCTATATTTTTTTTGCGGTAACTGGTGGTGGTCATCTGCACACCCCTGTGAAGATATGCGGAAGTGCGAGACTGCAAACAACAACAGGCAAAAAGTAGTTAACGATTTTGCAGATTGAACAAAAATAGCGGGCACTCTTGTTTTCGTGGCTCTTTGAGGGTGAGGGGTCAGCAACACGCCTTCAACGTCAATGTTTCAATTGAGAAACGCAATCACGTTGAAACCCCGATTTTGAGTTTCACTGCAGTTGCATGGAGTTACACGAGTTTCCCCAACCCATCGGTTCAAAGCAACCACATCGGACTCTGGAGCTTCCTTGTTGAATCTGAAGCCATTGTTGTTTGCCACACGCACACACACACGCACGCACCAGTTAACCCGGCATACCTTTGCAATTTTTGCAAAATGCTGCGCTCGAGACCCCTATGGTTTCTGGGCGTGATATGGAGCTCGCAATAAATAAACAAATCCTTCCCAACGTTGCACGATAAGGAACACCATTGCCACTGAGGCACCAAAACGCAAGCGTGAAGGTAGCACCTCGGCCCACTGGACCGGCATGTGAAGCATGGCCAATACTTGTTACCCCTCAAACTTGTACGGCAACTGGCCCCCACAAACTGCACCACGGAGTTCTTAGTTCCGCATACATTTTTGTTCGCACAGTGGCGAAAGGATTGAGGGGGTGAACGAGAAGATAGTGAACAAAATGAAGTTAGTTACAGTAAGCCACGAATTGAGGAAAGTAGTAACTCTGCACAGGCCCTACCTGAAGCGATTGCACCAGAAAAGCACTGGGAAACAAAAGCAAAAAAAGGTGTAACACATGACGCGTCATCTGAATGCAGCATACTGTTGTACCCGACATCTTTTTCCCTGGGTAAATATGGGCAAACACAGCAAGGTGGCAAGCCTGTTGAGAAAATCGTTTGTAAAGTTTTCGGCGCCGGCGCGTCGCAGAACATTTCACTCATGGCAGCTGGCATGTGCGTGGCATCGTGTGTACATTTCAAGATGAGCAAACCTGCAGTCAGCTGAAACAACGTGTGCAGGGCGGGACGGTTTCGGTGTTCCGGCAATGTTTCGCATCGCCCGCAGCGGGGCTGACAAGTCCCCAATCTCCCATCTCTTGATATGACCTGGCGAACAAATGGTTCATCTACTGTCTACTGCACCATGTCGGAAATACTTTTTCCTCCCCTCCTTTCTCTGCATTATCATTGAACGATTGGACTTTGAGGACACCCATTCTCCTGAACATCTCAACACCGTCAACACCCTCGCGTAGCTTGTCCTTGCTTTAAAGCGTTCACTGGTGCGTTGTTACTCCCGCCTGGAACGATTCTTGTATGCTTCACAAAGCCTTGCTGTATCCAACCTCTTGGTGGATCAAGTCTTCCTGAACTGCGACCAGGAACTTCAAAGAAAACTCCTCCAAAATCACTTGCCATCATCTGGGCTGGAACTTGTCTCTTCTCCTTCGAGAGGGATTGCTTATCCTGAGCGCACATCTCAATCCATGCCATGCTGCGCTTGGCCAGCTGGTGTCTCATACCGTATATAAAGTGCGCAAAAACAACAACAACCACAAAACTTCACGTCACTGTCCTCGTGCTGACATCTGCTGGATTGTACTTGGTATTGGCCCATGCCAGTTGGACCCAACCTTTTGCGTGCGCCCTTGCATCCAATCCTAAATGACAAAACGCCCTGCTGAGGAAAGGCTTAATTTCAAGCTGCACTGATTGCACTGATCCACCTCAAAAGAGTGCGGAGTGCCTATTTGTTTGCTAATCCTTCCACAAGAAGACTGATGGTAACCCAAACCTCCGCCTTTATGAAGATGTTCGTGGCTTGCGTACGCAATGTCAGCTCAAGAAGGTCAAGCCCGATGCAGTGCTGTGCCTTGACCACTGTCAGAGCGTCTAAGCGGCCGCCTGTTTCTAAACAGCGGTCTTTGGGGCGTGGCCGTCCCTCAATCAAAGGTTGCCACCACGTCGTGAAAGCGGAAGATCAGGTGCCCTCATGGTCCATGGTGGTTCTTGATCTCACCTGCTCTAAATTATCTAGGCTGGCTTGGGCAACTCTCGTCTTCAAGTTTTGTTTTATGTAGATCCGGCTTTCCAAGCCTCAGCGCCTTCTTTGTGAAGGCTTTCTAGCCCATTCGCGCTAACTTTCCCGTTCCTGCTCCTTGCTCATTCGCACTAACTTCTCCTCAGACTGGTGCAAATCTTCACTCTACCTCTAAGCATAATCTATTCAAATGCCTCTTCACCAAGCCAGAATTTCCTCTTGACACTCATCCTTTGATGTACAGCTCCATGGTCGCGCGGCGGCGCCTTTGCGCTTCATCTCCTGGCTCTCTGCTGGTCTGGTATTGTGTACGGTTGGCAGTAGAACCGTGGAAGAATCTATGCCTTTGCTGCCTTCAGGCTTTGTTCTGGGACAAAGCCAACATGTTTTTTGTTGCCCACCTTGCTCATCATTCTCAACCGTTGAGAACCCCGTGGCCGATGTTTAAAGCCCGCGGAACACTCTGCACTGATTCTAGTCCAATGCTTTCCATTGTCACTCTGGCCCTTGCCTTTGCCCTTCGGCTCTGACCTTCTTTACTTTCTGCTTGCCTTTCCCTTTGCCCCGGAATGTCCTCCACAGCCAACGTGAGGAAAACCACTCCACCAGGATGGCACCAGGATGGGCTTTCTTGTCAGGGTGGATTGCTTCACGACTCCATTGTCAACTGGAGACGCGTCAAGAGTCAAGAGAAGCAAGGTCCTAGTCAAGAGCCGATTTGCTCTGCGGAAAGCTTGGATACAGGCAGCAGGGGTTTGGGCAACTCCTCGACCGCGTTGACGCTAGAAGCTGTTCCCGCAAACAGAAACCGTCTTTGGCTCGAAGCTCTGGTCGAACCAATATCAAACGTTTGCTCCCCTTGAGGAGGCTTGCAAGTCCACGGCGTCAACTTTCTCTAGAGGCTTTTGGCCCAATGGTTGCCAGAAGTCGAAGCCACCAAAGAAAACTTCCATGCTATCAAACGAATCGGAGTTTTGAG